TGACTGAGTCGATTAGTAGTTACATAAACTTCTGCACTGATATTACTATTCCAACTAAAGTTGTTAAGATATATGCTAACAATAAACCTTGGATAACTAAAGATGTTAAAGAGATAATAAATAGCAAAAAACGGGCATATCGTATTGGTAATAAAGACGAGTTAAAAGTTATACAAAAAGAACTTAAACAAGCAATTCGTAAACAAAAAACAATTTATAAAAGGAAAATTGAACAATCTTTTACTGAAAATAAAATGAAACATGTCTGGAAAGGTATGCGTCTTATGAGTGGCTATTGTGAAAATTATCACCAATCAGGGAAACTCCCAAACTCAACTCATGCATATGCAAATGATATCAACCTGTTCTTAATCGCTTCGATAAGTTTGATTTTAAAACAGAAATACATGAACGTCTTGAGTTGCTTAATAATATGACGCAGTCTGACTTTGTCATTAGGACAGATGAAGACAAAGTGCGTAATCTTTTTAAACGACAAAACTCGTCAAAAGCTGCCGGTCCAGACAGAATAATGCCCTTAGTTTTAAAATTATGTGCAGATCAGTTGTCTAATGTTTTTTTCTTATCTTTATAATTTATGCTTTTCGGTTAATAGGTTTCCAGATTCTTGGAAAAAATCATGCATTGTACCTGTGCCAAAACGTGCAGTTAGTGAGATGAATGATCTTAGGCCAGTAGCGCTAACTTCGGTAGCCATGAAAGTTTGCGAAAGAATACTTCTTAAGAATCTGGCCCCCTTAGTTACTGATTACGTTGACCCATTACAATTCGCTTACAAGAGCACAAAAAGTACCACGGATGCAATTTTATTTAAGCTACAATATTTATATTCTCACTTAGACCGGACAAGTCATGGAAATTGTGCTCGAATTATGTATTATGATTTTTCATCTGCATTTAATACAATTCAACCTCATCTTTTATTTGACAAATTAGTTCGCATGAATATTCCTTTTCCCTTAATCTCCTTAGTTTTTGATTTTTTGATTAATCGTTCTTAGTTCGTAAAGTTAGATAAAGACGTAAAGTCAAATACAATTAGGTCCAATACGGGCGCTCCTCAGGGAACTGTACTTGCCCCATTTTTATTTAGCCTTTACACGGCTGACTATAGATCAGCACATTGTATGTGCCCTGTTATTAAATTTGCTGACGATACAGCTATGCTTGGACTTATAAATAATGACGATGATACCGACTATGTTCAGGAAATTAAAAGGTTTTTAAATTATTTCGACGACAATTATCTAGAATTGAACACATCTAAAACAAAGGAGATGATTATTGACTTCAGGAAAAGGACGAGTGATTTTAGTAAGATTTTCATAAAAAATAAAGAAATTGATCGCGTAGATAAATATAAATACCTTGGAGTTGTATTCAATGATTCGCTTACATGGGATGATCATGTCGATTCTCTTATAAAGAAACTAAACTCTAGAATGTATTGTATGAGACAGATGTATAAATTCAATGTGTGTAACAAAATTTTAGAACTTTTTTATAATTCTGTGATTTGTGGTGTTTGGGTCTACTACATCGTTTGCTGGGGTGGCAACGTCACTCAGAGAGATAGGAACAGGATTGATCGTCTGATCAGGAGAGCAGGAACGATGATTGGTGTGGATCAACAGTCGGTGGAGTCAGTTTATATGAAACAGCTGAAGACGGTGTTTGATGGAGTTTCTAGAGATGCATGTCATCCACTCCATCAATATGTCGTCTTTCAGCGAAGTGGTAGGCTGAGGCCTCCGATTGTCCACACCAATCGTTATTCCTGTTCATTTATTCCTGTTGGGATTAAACTTTTTAATGCACATTTTAAACGTTAATTTTATGAATATTTTTTTATGTGATTGTACATTGTTTTTAAAAGTTTTATGCGAGCATTCAGTTTCCTTCGTTGAAGGATAAATAAAGTTTTACTTTGACTTTGACTTTGACTTTGAATAAGTAAGGTATCATGTCGGTGTTGTAGACTTATATTATTCAAAAGCCCTTACACACAACGCACCACTAGCAACAATATTGAGTGACGGTGTACATTGTCTCTAGTTGTAAACAATGTAAACAATAACAGCACAAATCACTGCTCTGAAAAGTTACTTGTTCAAGCTGACTGGTTTGTGCCGATATCAAAGCCTTGCTACCTTGATTGCATGAATAGATTTATTTGGTGTAAACACCAAGGATAACCTAACAAAAGTCAAAAGAAGACTTATTTCCACTGGGGTCTTTCTGGTGGTGATTGAGCTTTACACAGGGAAACAATCTTTACACTCCATATTTTTTCACACATTTGATAGGATTGAAACCCGGACTCCCAAGCAATTAAAAAATTGTATTACCTGAAACGAATGTCAAATTTCAATAATTTATGTCTGCGTTTTCATTCTTTTTTGGTCAAACAGCTCTCAAATATCTTAGAATGCTCATTTATACAATAAATAAATAAATAAACAAAATAAATTGATGGAGTTGCAAATTGTGCTTGTTTACCATAGAATTCCTTGACTAGAAGCCTCAGTCGTTTTGAGACATTGTATTACGATACACAATAAATACAAAATAAATTTATTAAGGCCACTTTATATAAGGCAATCATTAATATATAAAAAATAGGAATCCAATTCGGTTTTCTCAAATTGCACATGTAAGCAAAACATTTAAGTATATATAGTCCTTAAGAAAAACAATTTTAGTTTTATTTTGGTTTTTTTCTGTTTTGTACTGATGATTGGTTGTTGTCATTCCGAAACATATCTTTTTTGTTATTTCTAAAATGTGTGGTGATTTTTTTTACCATCTCTTTGGTTCAATTATCAAGAATTTCCTGTTTCTTTGTTAAGGAAATATGAGTTTCCTTTTCTATACATATCAGGCCTGATGTTACCATGAATATTGATAAGAGATGGTCAGAATATTTATTTAATTTATAAAGCAAAGGAAATATGCGCATCTAGGGTTGAAACATTTGCGTGAGCCACTTCAAAACCCGTTAACAGTGCAAGTTTGGGCAACTAATGATTTATAATATTGTTTTTATTAATAGCAACTGAATGACGTGTGTTAAACCGTAACACAAATTTGCCTAATAAACCAATGGAGCAAATGGACATGGAAGGGAAGATCGCCATCATAGGTATAGGTTGTAGATACGGCGATGGCGTGTCAGGATCACGTGGGATTTGGGACATGTTAAAGGAAAACAGAGACTGCACAGGCCCACCTCCTGTAAACCGATTTGATAACTCATTTTTTTTTCTCCCCTGGTGAGAAGAGAAAGGGTAAAATCTACACGAAGGCGGGTGCCTATTTGAAACAAGATCCTCTGATGTTCGATCGACAATTCTTCAATATGCCTCCAGGTAAAAAAAAGCCAAAGCCAAACATTGTCAAATAATAATCTGTAAACTTTGTAAAAAAACCCAAAACATTAGTAGGAAAAATAGTTATTTTTTTTATTACACGTACTATATAATGTATAATGTATTTAAATTATAAATATCATACCGAAAGATTTATATATAACACCTAAGACTAATTTATTTTCACTTTTAGAGGAAGCTAACCACATGGATCCACAAGTGCGAATTCTTCTAGAAGTAGTGTGGGAAGCCTTGGAAGATGCAGGAATTCCTGCCTCTACATTGCGTGGTTCAAACACTGGTGTCTATATGGGCACCACAGCTGGTGAATACCATTTATTTACTGCATACCCACATAGTAATATCAGTCAATACTCGAATTCAGGCTCAAACTCTTGCATGGTCTCCAATCGTATTTCCTACGAATTTGATTTACGAGGACCTAGTCTTTCAATCGACACTGCCTGTTCTTCATCACTATACGCAGTACAAATTGCATGCGATGCTCTAAGAGGGGGAATTTGTGACGCAGCAATTGCCGGAGGGGTAAGTCTCGTGCTTTCTCCTACCAGTACAATTTGATTGTGTCAAGCCGGGATGCTTTCACCCGAGGGACAGTGTAAAAGTTTTGACGAATCAGCAAATGGTTACAGTCGTGGCGACGGTGTAGGATCAGTGGTACTCAAACCACTCAAAAGGGCTATGGAAGACGGAGATAGAATTTATGCAGTGATTCGAGGAGGCGCTCTTACAAATGATGGAAGAACACCTGGGATTGCAAATCCAAGCTCTAATGCTCAGATGGATCTTTTATATAGAGCTTGTGCAGCAGCTTATGTAAATCCACGGGATGTCGCGTATATTGAAGCTCATGGCACTGGTACTCCAGTTGGGGACAAGGCAGAAGCAAATGCTATTGGTGAATTAATGAGCAAGCAACGTTCCAATGATGCACCACCCCTGCTTATCGGATCTATAAAATCTAACTTAGGACATTCAGAGGGCGCTGCAGGTGTAGCAGGCATCATCAAGGCAGCATTGTCGTTGTACCATAAAGAAATTCCAGGTGGTGTAAACTTCAAACGCGGTAATCCGAATATTAACTTCAAAGAATTGAATTTAAAGGTTCCTACCTCATGCACTCCGTGGCCTGTCAATTCAAAGCTTCTTGCAGGCTGTAGTTCATTTGGGTTTGGTGGAGCCAACGCTCATGTTGTCCTTGAAGCATCTCCAGCCAAGCAACTCTGCATTCAAACGTACGATGATAGTTCATCAGCTTTCTCTGAGTCCTATTTTATGTTAATGCTTTCCGCAAAGTCACTAAATGCTCTTGAGCAAAAATATATTGATTGGACACAATTCCTCTCAAACACTCTTGTATCAGATACTGCTGTGTTCCAGAACGCTTTATACACTGCTAATCTGAGGTTCCATCACCATGTGCAGAGAGCAACTTTTGTTGCAAAATCCAGAGATGAACTGTTGTTGCTGCTGAACAAGAGAGTAAATGGAGAACGTTCAGACACTATTATCGAAGGAAAGGCACCAGAAGGCAATTCCATTAACAGAACAGTGTTTGTTTTCTCTGGTATGGGGACGCAATGGTGGGGAATGGCAAGACAGCTAATAAACACCCAACCCATATTCAGAAATATGATACAGGTGAGATAATCTTCAGACAACAAATGTCATTATATTTATATAAATTATTGTATATTATATATAAAACAACACATATAATTCTCATATCCTATATCGTGAAAAAATACAAATACATAATTATAAAAACAATTCTCAACGAAAAATAACTGTGGGTGGAATGGTGGTCAATTCATAATAAGTAACTCGTAATACAATTTAAAGTATTTTTGCATGACAAAACATCAGAATTTCACAGATGAAATGTTGACTGCAAGATATTTTACTGCTTGTTCTTTTTAATTGTTCACCGTCGGACATTATTTTGTTTCAGTTGATAGACGAACTTCTGGCAAAGTATGGAGCAAAATGGTCCCTAGTTTATATATTGTCAGATGAAACAGATAAAAACAGGAACACATCTAGATGTGTATAAGAGACAGGAAACCTAATGTCCAAAAAGCAAGGTTTGCGAGATAGGATTGCCCAAAGCAATTTTATTGCTTTTTTTCTGTATATTTTGGGTATGCTAAATCCCAAAATTTTATCCAAGATTGTCTTGGTGACCATTTTAGAATTGAAAAATGGCTGCCATTTTCGCAATAAAGTAACCATAACTGTACTATTAGAGCAGATATCGAATGTTCAATTCTTTTACATCGATAGACTTTGTATTGTTTAAGGGTGGGGGAAAATGTACTGGTAGAATGCTGGTGAGAGTAGATATCTATATGGTGTACCGACAGCTGGGGTAGCATGAATTATTTAAATTGGTAGGCCTTTATGTTCTTCAAATTAGCCTCACTGTAAATACTAATAGTTTCTAAAAGAAAATTCAGTTAAAGTACTTGAAAAGACGTCCACACCATAAATAAAAAAATCTGGCAGAAAATTATGGTTCTTGCAGGATCATTTCTGGAACTCACACTTACCCAACTTCAAAAAACACACCTGACACCTTCGGAAGATTCAAAGATATTGTTGGCATGACTTATCAATATTGCTCCCATCTACAATTCTTTCTTGACTGGAGATAATACCTTGTTTGAAGGGTCAATTGCAGTATGTAGGCCTACGTGTAAAAAGGTAACCAGAGATATGCCCTTAAAAAACTGTTGCATTTTGCTTTGACGATGTCTTTGACAATTATGTTTCTGGTATTTTAAACAATATACTGGCCATGATCCTCTATTTTATTTTGCAATAACAAACATTGGTATTAGGTATGGCAGGTAAAACATTGCATCCCAAGACAGCCTGTAACATCCATGCAGTCTAATCAGTCTGTCTCTTTCTTCAATGCATTGTGTTAGTATCCTGTAATATCTTGCGACTATTGGAAGTTGTGTTACCCTTAGCATCTGTTTAATTAACAATAAACAACTTTTTTTCACTGTATTCTTCAAGCGGATGTTCATAGATCAGTAGTTCCTACCCTGGGGTCCGCAGACCCCTTACCGCCAAAAATAATTGGGGTCCGCCAAGTCAAAGTGGTCCGCACTGTCCGCGAAAAATGTGGAGTCCGTAAAAAGTTTGGGGGTCCGCTAAATTATTAGAACAATTTTTTCATGTTTCCATTATTTTTTCATGTCTTTACAATAGTGTAATCATGCCTTAATAGAGTGGTCATGCCTTGACAATTATTACAATTATACATTTGACAGGCGTGACTTCGTTTACTGTAAATTGTTTTAATTGGCATTATATTTTAATTCCAATATTTTATTGGTGATCAAACAGAATCTTTTAAATTACTTTTTATGCATACTACTCTATGTAAAGATATTTAGTGTAGGAAAGCCACTTAATAGTGGCAATCCTCAGGTAATGTACATCTTGTTTTCATGTTTTTCTCTTGTATTGCTTTTACCAGGATATTGAATAAATTAAAAAAAAAATCAGGAGGGAGTTCTAAATTTGACAAAATTACAAGTAAATGGGGGATAACGAAATATTACATTCAGATTTTGAGTCTGACTGTATCATTTCGGGTCAAGTGCCATAAACATAACAATTTTCTACTCAGCCCCAACCAGGGTGGGATTGAGGGAGCGAAAATCCCTTATCTGTAAAAAAAAATATGGTCTGTACCCCTTCCCTCCGGCCTATGTCGAATTCCAAGATCCAAGATGTCGAAATTTGGCGAATCATCTTCTATCCATAATTTTATAGGCGGAATATCAACCGTGAGTTTTGTCCTTAAATTTACACATTAAAAATTAAATGTGGGATGGATATAAGGAAATGACAGTACCTTCAAATTCTGAGTCTGACAGTGACGTTTCCGGCCATCTAGAAGTGGAATAGACTTAAAATATTTTTTACCTCAGCCCCAACCATGGTGGGGCTGAGGTGGCTTCTATTTCGAATTCCCGGATTCGCCACTGTTTAATGTTGTACTTTGGTGGCGAATCATCTTTTAAGTATAGGCCTAATCTTATCATTTTGTAACTGGTTATTAAAGACTGTCTTCCGACAGAATCAAGGAAACCTTAAATGCCCAGATAAAGAATTGAATAGCTCATTTAAAACTATCAAAAACAGATGGAAATATATTTTTCACTGATTTATAAACGTTTTTCTACAAACAATCCTTAAATTTTACCAGCCAGTTAGTCATACAAAAAAAAAAGAATACAGCAAAATATAATCTCATTAAATTTTTAAATTGTATATATGGTAATTAACAACTGTGTCCGAGGTACTCGAAAATTATTGTCTCCGAGCAATTGTCTTCAGGAGAATATCTGCAGAAATTATTATTGTATGTTGTAGTCATAGAGATATTATTACAATAGTCCAATAATGTTTCTTGACTGCCAAGGTCTATTTTAGAGATTTTGGCCTATGGCCTACGTCGTAACTTTCACCAACGCATAAGCACTCCAGCTTGCTCAATACGACACCTCTTTCGTGAGAGGGAAGTCAAGCATGCATAGGCCTATTCATGTTTATCAGTTTATATCTGACATAAAATAGCGCTCTGTATATGCTTTAACTGTATGTGAAAAAAATAATGCTGTCTGCCAAGGGCCCCCGGTGGGGTCGAGAAAACGAAGACCAGGAAGCATTATTTTCTCCCCATACAGTTAAGGCAGGGGGCACTAGTTTAGGTCAGCTGGGTGAAGGTGAACTGATATGCATGAATATGCATGCAAAACCTTCCCCTCGCGAAACAGAGTTCAGTCGTGTATCAAGATGAACGCTACGGAGTAGGACCTAGGCCCCAAATTAATGAACCATAATTGTAACAATATCCCTATGACTAGACACAATGTACAGCATGATCTTTGATAGTATAAAAAAGCACAGTAATATTGAATCTGGCTATTTCAGTAGGTCTAGAGTATAGTATATAGGTCTAGACAGGACATGTATGTGTTGTAGCAATTGTATGCCCCTAATAGTAGTACAGACTCTGAAGGATAAACGATTATAAATGCTCTGAGACAAATTACGAGTACTTCGGACACAGTTGTTAACTTACAATTACAATTAAAACATTTAATGAGAACAAAAATCCGTCAATTAACTAACAGTGAGCGTATTTGCTGTATTTTCTTGCATAATTCATTGGCTGGTAGCATTTAAGGATTTTGTTACTACTCAAATAACCGACCGGATTTAACTCTTAACTTTTTTACTTTTAAAGACCATGCTGTACCTAAACAGTGGTATAGGGATATTACTATTCAACACAATATTAACAATAGTCCATTAATTTTCACTGTGTCGACTGACTACCAAGAAACTTGGCCTACCCTACTACTGTTACGCCGACGTAGCTTTCATATTCTACAAACAGCGAACACTACTTTCACCATTCGCGAAGGGGAAGTCAACATGCATAGTCATGTTATCAGTTTGCGATATCTTTTTTTCTATACGAGAATTGCCAATGAAGAAGAATTAAGCAGCCTGATTGGCTGTTCTATGTCACATGACCACTCAAATTCAGTAAGGCATGCAACACGTTGTAACACAGAGTAGTGCGAAGTTGAGCCATTCTTGAATAAATAGAAGCTCGCAAACTAAAGGGCATTTAATAAGGCCAATGGAACAGTTACTTTAACTGTTCACTGATTAGGCCTACATGGTTTTTGATTCCATAGTATTACTTTTAGGCCTAGTAAAATATACTGTGTAAGTGTAGGCATATCCTACAAATAAGTACAGTAATTAGGCGTAGGCCTACGTGGTAAGCTCTTTCTCTGGGCCCTCCAGGCCCATTAAAGAAAATTATATATATGTATTTATTTTTTATTACTTACGCAATTATCGTTTTATTCTATTTTTACTGTAAATAACCTTACCAAGGAGGTATAAAAAATTGCACCAGCTAGAATAACTACCATATTATGTAGTAGCACTGGCAAGTTGTAAGCAGAAGCCTATTTTAAAATCCTACTTTCAGGAAACCAAATGCTTGTAGGACTTACCACTAACTCTGTTTCTCTAGAGAATGCGAAAGTTACTAAAAAGTAGTGCTAATAGATTTATGAATTATTAATTTCACAATAAATATTTTATAATAAGTAAAATGATTATTAAATAATTATAAATGGTAATTAGTAACAAATAATAATTGATAATACTTCCTGTTTACTAAGCAAATGCAAGAATTGCCACCATCATTAAGCTGTTTATTTCAAAGGCAAAATATTTACTAAGATAAGCCAAGATATCTCCCTAGATAATAATCCGCCCCAGAAACCTATGGATATTCGACAAATTTGGGTGAATTATTAGTTATTTGATAGGCATCACACTACATGACTTCATAACAATTGTTGTATCTAATGTCCAAACAAAAGTTTCTTCCATGTAGGCTTACGATCTTTACTGAGGGAAAAGGTGCAAAAAGGGTGGTTACGCCCTGTTTTTCCCCAGTTATTCAAGCATCTGTATCTCATCCCCAGTTTATTTTGCCAAACAACTTTTCTCTGTCTTAGAAAAAAATCAGTTTTAAAACATATCAAAAATGTTTTTCCTCCGGAGCCTGACTTTAAAGAAAAGTGGTAGGAGTAGCATTTGGTCAGGAAAAATGCAATTAATATTGTATCAAGAATCTCACTAAACAAACCTTAACTATTGACATTTTAGCATATTTTGCCCCCTTGATGTCAATAATTGGGGGCTAATAATAGAAAAAATGTAATTTCTTTTATTTTCTAATTTTTTACAATCGATTCCAAATATATATAACCATGTGATATCTCAATTTCATTCATATAGCCTCCCTAATTTTTGCACAGCAAAACAAAGATTTTTGCCTATACAATGAGAATATTTTGCATTCAAACTGAATATGCCTTCAGGAGTTACCGTACCATTACGTAATACCGTAACATTGAAAGTGATTTTTAAATTTATTTACACAAATTAATATCATACATAAATTGTATTTTACATGAATGAAGATACTTTAAACTATTCTGTTAGCTGGTAAGACATGTTTTTATATGAAAAATAATTAGTATGTTTTGTTTTACAGAAATTTCCCAAACATGCATTTGTAGCGTACAAATTGGATTGGTTGAATTGTACAAACATTATGGCGTAACACCGAGTGCCATCATTGGTCACAGTGTTGGTGAAGTTGCAGCCGCTTACACAGCAGGACTTTTAACCCTAGCCACTGCTGTCAGAATCATCTTCAAAAGAGGGCAACTCCTACAAGAGACAAGTGGTTCAGGAAGTATGGCTGCAGTTCTTCACGACGTTGACGATGTTCAAACACGACTGAAATCTACTATCACATATATAGACGTAGCCGCTATCAACAGTCCTTCACAAATTGTTCTTTCTGGCAAAAACGAGTCCATAAAAGAGTTTACTTCTAAGCTTAATGAAGACGGGATACAGACGCGATTACTGAAGGTTAATAATGCATTTCACAGTCGTCAACAGGAAATTCTTAAGATGAAATTCTACAAAAAAACAACATTCTTGAAGAAAGCGATGTCTTCAAAAGAGCAGAGGCCTCTCATTCCAATGATGTCAACGGTGACTAACAGTTATCTCACATTGCAAGATGCAAATGAGTCTGATTATTGGTGGGCCAATATTCGTCGATCTGTAAGATTCAAGGGCGCAGTAGAAGCTATACTTAAGGATGGTTATAATAGCTTTCTTGAAATAGGGGCTCACCCAGTGCTGTCACCCGCAATCAAAGACATTGTCGCTTCCAAGCCAAACCAGCCAACTATCTATTTTATCACGCATTCTCTTAAGCGACCACGTGATCTGAGTGTTTCTACCGATGATATTCTCAATTGTAATATATCACTGGCACAAATGCATGTGAACGGTTACCCAGTCGATATAGGTCCAATGTTTGAAGGTCATAACTGTGAAGTAGTGTCTTTACCTATGTATCCATGGCAACGTGTCGAATGTTCTGCGAAAACTGAAATTAGCAGGGAAATGTACCTTTTTCCTGATTCTTGCCATCCGCTTCTCGGCAAATCGGAAACATCCACCATTTATTCTCAAATTCCAAATCTTCATGTTTGGAGAGCTAAAATAGGAACTGACAAGGAACCATGGATTGCTGACCACGTTATCCAAAACAGTATAATCTTTCCTGCTGCTGGATACATAGAAATAGCTATTGCTGCACATTATGAGCTTTTTACAGATGCTCTTCTAGTATGTATAACAGATCTCCATTTTGATCGTTTTCTTTTTGTTTCGGAGGCGGGTACGCTTTCGGAAACAAAAATTGAAAAAGAATCCAATACAAAAGCAAAGTTCACATTTTGCTCCTTTAATACAGTAGAAAAAAACTGGACGTCACATTCAACAATGAATTTAGAATCATGTGAAAGCACACTTGAAGAGGCAACTGAGCAGGCATATCTTTCAGTAGATGACATCATAAGTAGGTGCCCTAATGAACTGGATAAAACGGAATTATATGCCAACATAACTGACCTGGATTTCAAACTTGAAGACAGTTTTTTGTGTCTTAATAAGGCATATTACAGCTCCTTGGTCGATGAAGCACTAGTCTACCTTCACTCAACAGGCCTTGTGACGACACAGTCTAGTCGTTTCTACGTCCATCCTGCATTCCTTGACGGTATACTTCAGGGAATGGGTAGTATTATGCGTCAGCGATACAAAATCTTATCTCCGAATGTGATTTGTTCCTAAATCTGTTGAGAAAATTTATCTTCAGAAAGATGTATATCCAGATAATGTACTGCTCCACTATGCCTTTTTCACAAATGAAAACGGAGATGTGTATTCAGATATTTGTATTGCTGATACAAAAACGTACAAAATAATTGGTAAATTCGAAAAACTCCGGTTTGGAACCGTTGGTAGCCGCAATGAATACAAAACCCTTCAAATATGGGAAGAGAAATGGGTTTCTATAGACATAGAAACAAAGACTTCCGATACCAGTGGCCTTACATTAATAACAGGAGATGACGAAGAACTTTCTGCTCAACTGGAGAGCACGCTGACATCGGTGGGAGTTTACTCAAAGATAAACATTGTTGAAGGTGTTCAATCAGATCAGTTTGGCACAGATAATGAATCATTGTCCAATGTAATTATCACTATTAAACCTGGTAACATAAATAACATTGACACAATTACTAAAGAAGAATTGTTACAACAGCAATATCAGATAGCCAATATGTGTATCAGTCAGTATAAAGTTCTCTCTTCAATCGAAGGTATGAATCCAAATGTATGGCTTATTACACGGGATGGATTTTCTGTAACAAACGATGACACAGTCGATCCTCATCAGGCATCAGCTTACGGGGTTGCTCTTTGCGTAATGCAAGAGAACCTAAATTTTAAGCTTTCCATCATCGATATTCCGTCAAGTGTCGATACTGTAACTGCAACAGGTTGGTTGTTTGAATGTATCTGGAAGATGGACAATGATGAAAAAATCGTTGCATTGCGAAATTCTGTATCTAACTCGACCAATTATTTTGACGTATATTTCCTTCGATTATGTGTAAGTAAAAGTTATGACTTTCAATACAAAATTTCCTCAAGGAAGTGGAAGTTGGACGTTGATCAAAGTTTCCAAACAAGGAGATTGTCATTGACAACATGTCGTGATTTAGAGGAAAGCAGATCTACGCAATTCACGACTGTGAACATTGAATCTTTTCAGCTTCTTAAATCCACCACCTCAGGGACGTCTTCTGAGGAAGAACAACAGATTGCCATGTTTTGTGGACATTCAGAACAATCCCAGGTAGTAATTGGTGTTTGTTCTGAAAATGAATTACGGTCTACATTGCAATACAAACGTGATGAACTAATTAATATTACCAGCGAACTCCCTGCCGCACAGGTAATTAACATTGTCTCATCATATTTTGTACCATTTATGGTTGTTAATGATTTGTCACCCGAGGGCACGACTGTTATCTGTTTGTCTTCTAACAAAGACAAACAAGGTTTGGCAGTAGCACACATGGCTTTAGAACTAGGTCACTCTGTTGTAGTAGCCGTTAAAGACCTATTCAATGAGGATGGGCTTCATTTAAGGTCATATGATTCAGTGAAATTTGTTGATGGAAATGAGTTATGGACAGTTCTTGACGAACAAAGTGTTGGCTGTATAATTGGATCTGAAAATTACGTATGCGAAATCATGAAATCTAGAAAAATGAAAGAGAGATTGAGACCATTTGCTACAATTCAAATGCTCAATTCACACAAAAAAGGTTATCGTAGTTCTAACATTGTGGTCCCGATGAATGCAAGGGTTGTGATGAAAAATTACGATTTGCCCTTGAATGACGAATTTCGACAACTTAAACCTCTTATAGACAAGTTATTACAGTTGTTTGAGGAACCGTCGTCAGTACAACCTTTACAAGACTCCATTCCACAGACTATACATTTAAAAGATGTAGGAACTCAATACAATATTGCTTTCAATGATGTTACATTTGCAGTCGATGAGGATGCAATTCCTGTAAATTATGACTTTCGGAGAGTGAAATTAAATTCAGCAAGCACGAATCATATATCGTTACTGGGGGTACAAAGGGATTTGGACTATGCCTAGTGGAATGGCTTGCCAATAATGGAGCTGGATGTATTAACATCTTAAGTAGATCTGAGGCCGATTCTGAGACTGAGGCAAGGTTGAACTGCCTGAGAAACCCTGGAACTACAATAGTTCATATTAAGACTGACATTGCAGACAGAACAGATGTAGAAGCTGCTTTTGCAAAAATCAAAAACGATTCGTTTAAGCCATTATCAGGTGTATTCCATTGTGCGGCGCAGTATGATGACAGACTAATCGGTGATATCACACCCGAAAGCTGGAATCATGTGATGGCAGCCAAATCATGGGGTGCTCTTCTTTTACACCAAACGTCAATGAAATTTCATTCAGAGCTAAAATATTTTGTCATGATTTCATCCGTGGTTCAATTAGTGGGGAATTCCGGTCAGGCGAGTTATTGTGCAGCTAACAGATACCTTTCATCTCTTGGTTATTTCCGTAGAAGTAGAGGTTTACCTGCAACTGTCTTTTGTCCAGGAATTATCCGAGACACTGGATATGCATCAACCCAGAAAGGACTTCTTGAGTATTGGGAAAGGAAAGGAATGGAAAGTTTGACAGCAGTAGATTTATTGAAAGGGCTTAGCGTTATACTTTTAAGCGGCGTTGCTGAAATTGGAATAAGTGGACATTTTCGAGTTCATGACTATATTTCGAATTCGAATCTAAGCGGTCTGCTAAACACATACACACGCTCTGGCATTGATGGAGTAAGTTCTATTGAAATAGGGTTCTCTTCATCAACGAAAATAGATGCCAAAGAGGATGAAATCGATATAAAACAGATGAATCCAGATGATGCTAAGCTTCTTATATTACAGTCTCTGTGCTGTCTAATATCAGAGCGTCTAAGTAGTGACATATCACCAGAATCGTCACCTTCTTCAGTTGGTGTTGATTCGTTGATGGCAACCGAATTGAGTGGAATGATCCAAAGAAAGTTTTCTGTTCCATTCTCATCAGTGGAATTAATTAATGCAAATATGACAATCCGGGAGTTATCAGTTTTGATCTACAAGAGAATTGTAGCTAAAGATATATTGGGAGGACAGAAAAACGACGACAAAGACGAAGGTGATACGTCTTGGAAAGCGTGGTATATTATGGATGAAAAAGTGACATCTCCAGATATCCAACTAATTTGCTTTCCTCCAATTGGGGGTGGTCCGTCTGTATATGCTTGGTGGCAATATAAACTGAGTAAGCAAAATATTCAGTTGATCATGGCACAGCTACCCGGATGGGAAGGACGCCATCTTGAGAAGCCCCTTCAAAATCTCAATGAAATAGCGCTAAAGCTAACAGACTATCTATCTCCACAACTAATCCCTGGTAAATTTGTTTTATTTGGCCATAGCATCGGTGGACTTATTGCATTTGAAGTTGCCCATCTCCTTAAAGACAGAGGTCTACCACCAGCCCACATAATCATCAGTTCCTGGTATGCTCCAACGTTAGGTTATCCTAACGCGGGAGAGCTCGAGAAAGCGCCGAGTATCTTACGACAGATGGAACAAAATATCAGGAACAATATCCGACTCACTGACGACAAAGCCATGCGGCTTTCTTTTCTTGATAATGAGTTGTTGGGTAAGCCTGAGCTGATGCGACGTCTTATTCCTTGCTTCCTAGTGAGTTCAAAAATTTGCCAAAAGTACAGAAATACTCACAACACAAAGCTTCAATGTGGCATGACCGTATTGGGTGCAAAGTCCGATCATTTTGTTCCACCAACCCTACTGGATGCTTGGCAGCTAGAAATTGAAACAAATCATCCTTTTAAGAAGATTGTAGTTTCAGGAGGTCACATGAGCATTATGTCAGCAAAGAAGAAAGTTCTTAAAGGAATTTTAAACGCTCTAAGAAAAGCATTTTTTGTCTAATTACATATGAATACAATTATTTTGTATGGGTTGAATGATGTAAATAATCTAAAGGTTATCGGTTATAGCAAAGAGTATAGACACCAAGAATTGCAATTGAAAAGACTCCTTATTTTGCATGCACGAAAAGCGACGTACTGCCACACAATAGAGGGGGCCTATGACCATTAGAATGACGCCCTCTAGTTCGTAGTAGTACTTTTTGGAATAGAATTGCGTTTTAAAGAAACGCGGAGAGTCATCGTTCCATTGACTGGGTTAATAATATAGAGAAGCGCCTTGAGAATTTTAATGTTATACACACACACACACGCACACCCACACACACACATATATATGTATATATAATATATATATTGTATATATATATATACAATGTATAACATATATATGTGTATATAATATATATATTCTATATATATACAATGTATATATAATGTATATATATATATAATTTAACAGTATTAACGGCTCTTTTATTTTACACTATGTGACTATTTATGTCCAGCTGTACCGCAAGACTTATCTGGTTTACCGCTCTTTAAAGGTGTACACTTGTGTAATACAACGTACCTGACGGATATTCCAATCTGTTCAACCATGAAGCCTCTGGTCTAATGGTTATGACGCTCGCCTTGACAGAAAAATTTTATTACACAAAGTATTTATTTATAGGACAACATTCGTTGAGAGGCACGGTATGCTACACGATGTACTATCGTGTCCTTTCGAACACTGTATTTACCTTTCTTTGGTCTTTGGTGATGATGATATAGATGCAATCCAATTTTGTATTTAATTCTAAGCAGAAAGCAGTAACGAGCGTCAAATGAAAAACAAAGGGAAACATTCTTTATTCATGGATTTAAGAAAGATGCTGACATTGTAGTACAATTTAAGAAAATAACAAATATTAGGTCTATTATTATTATATTATCAGTTCCATACTAAGTGTACACAGTATACTAAGACAATAGGTACAATATAATATAAAGTTTCTTTTACACTAATCATGAATGTTTTTTTTCAGTGTTTTTTTTAAGTTTAAGTGTCACTTCGCTTAATAAAGAGTATGGCCCAACGTGCCATGATATGTTGTATCATTGGGAAACTATTCAACAACCAATTTCTCTACGTTGAAGAAGCAATGTTAGACATGATTATGAAACACCACTTCAAAAATATTTACTAAGAGATGTTCTGAATAAGCGTGTCTTTATTATTGAGCATCGCAATTATCCAACTTATAATCAATGTTTATTTTATTATCCACGGTATAATTGGTGTGTTGGTAGATAGGATATAGCCTAGTTTAATTTTAATTAAGGTATGTATGCTTTGTATTGTTAGACCTAACAGGAAATTTAATAAAATATATAATAGTGCGAAATTTATTAGTCTATGTTTTGAATTTACGAAGTAGCACGTTGTTGCATTATGGATCTTATGATCAACATTTTCGACCAAGCTACTGGCACAGCGGGAGGCGCGCTGTCCGCGGGGTGGTATTTCTGTCTCTTATACACATCTAGATGTGTATAAGAGACAGGAATTTTAAACGCTCTAAGAAAAGCATTTTTTGTCTAATTACATATGAATACAATTATTTTGTATGGGTTGAATGATGTAAATAATCTAAAGGTTATCGGTTATAGCAAAGAGTATAGACACCAAGAATTGCAATTGAAAAGACTCCTTATTTTGCATGCACGAAAAGCGACGTACTGCCACACAATAGAGGGGCTGTCTCTTATGACTAGCATATTATTATACACTAGTTATGATTTTAATTATTATAAATTGCAGACTTATTAAGCATTGTTGTTCACATAATACTAATATAATAATCAATGATAGTAATGATTATGATAATAATAATGAAAGATCTATGAATATGACAGTTGGATTATGCAATCCAATTTTGTATTTAATTCTAAGCAGAAAGCAGTAACGAGCGTCAAATGAAAAACAAAGTGAAACATTCTTTATTCATGGATTTAAGAAAGATGCTGACATTGTAGTACAATTTAAGAAAATAACAAATATTAGGTCTATTATTATTATATTATCAGTTCCATACTGTACACAGTATACTAAGACAATAGGTACAATATAATATAAAGTTTCTTTTACACTAATCATGAATGTTTTTTTTCAGTGTTTTTTTTTAAGTTTAAGTGTCACTTCGCTTAATAAAGAGTATGGCCCAACGTGCCTTGATATGTTGTATCATTGGGAAACTATTCAACAACCAATTTCTCTACGTTGAAGCAATGTTAGACATGATTATGAAACACCACTTCAAAAATGTTTACTAAGAGATGTTCTGAATAAGCGTGTCTTTATTATTGAGCATCGCAATTATCCAACTTATAATCAATGTTTATTTTATTATCCACGGTATAATTGGTGTGTTGGTAGATAGGATATAGCCTAGTTTAATTTTAATTAAGGTATGTATGCTTTGTATTGTTAGACCTAACAGGAAATTTAATAAAATATATAATAGTGCGAAATTTATTAGTCTATGTTTTGAATTTACGAAGTAGCACGTTGTTGCATTATGGATCTTATGATCAACATTTTCGACCAAGCTACTGGCACAGCGGGAGGCGCGCTGTCCGCGGGGTGGTATTTTCGGGTTAAATTGCCAATTTTTGTGTTTACATCGTCCGTTTTCCGCTACCTGTTGTCAGATAATTCTGTACTTTTGATATGTTATAGTTCAGTTATTTAGGCAACTTGTTTTTTGTTTGAATTTCAAAAGCTTAAAAAAGTCCCTGTCTTTTTGCATTTTTTGTAAGCAACTACAATGACCGCATCCCCGTTAGAAGGTCATTTTTTTCGATTTCCAGAGGGTTCTGTTGTCTTTTGATGTAAGTTTTATTTTGATTGGTTTAAAAAAGGGTCTGTCATTTTTACAAATTACCGTATGAAAGGAGGGTGCGAATGGTCAGTTTTTCATAGACGCATTTTACATTGAGCCAGGATAGGCGAGTGCTATGGTTAAGGTGAAACCTGTAAACGTTTTGTCAGAATATCGAACAATTCATTAAAGTATGTCATTAAATATCTGTATCTTGGTGTTTAATAATGATCACAGAAGAATTCTAGTGAAATATTTTTTTCGAAATGTTGCTACTATTACGCCAAAATTTCATGTTTAAAATGTGTTAGTGTCACAGCATCTGTACACCGCTGGCGTTGATTGAGATGGATCGTACCATTTTCTAGACAGGGTAACAGTTTATTAATAACATCAATATGGTCACTATAGCTGTCCGTGTTTGCTGCTGGTAAGATAGTGTTCCTGAGCCTATAGTTCTTTGTACCCCGCAGTATAATGCAATATTCCAAGGATGACTCATGTGTAGCTGATAAGGGAATAAAGGCCTTAGCGCGAAGGATTAAAATTGCATTTTTTGGTTGTAAAATACTCTACAAGATCGATATGATGGCCAAATATTTTTCCAATGCCAATAGTTAATATTATTAAGGCCACTTAATAGTGGCAATCCTCAGGTGATCGTAATGTACATCTTGTTTAAATGTTTTCTCTTGTATTGCTTTTACCAGGATATTGAATAAATAAAAAAAAAAAATTAGGAGGGAGCCCTAAATTTGACAAAATCACAAGTAAATGGGGGATAACGGAATATTACATTAAAATTTTGAGTTTGACTGTGCCATTTCGGGTCATCTACAAGTGCCATAAACAACCTAGCTAAATATTTAAGTGAGCTCATCAAACCGGACCATGTATTCCCACTGAATTTAGCATTAAAGACACCTTTAGTTTTGTTAAAGAAGTACGGAATTTAAATATGAGAGCTTGTTGAGAGCTTGTTTACAAATATTCCTCTCAAAGAAACTATATTGAACTTGCTGTTAACACCATAATATATCACAACCAAGAGCTAAAAATGTCTAAAGAAAACCTAACCAAATTACTTTTGCTAGCCACCACGGGAACACATTTTCTGTTTAAAGGTAAATATTTTGAACAAATAGGGGGTTAGTATCGGATCTCCACTAGCCCCCATCCTAGCGGATATATTCATGGGAACCAACGAAAAACTATGGCTCTCTGATCCCAAGTGTCCACACTTTCTACATTATCGTAGGTATGTGGATGATACATTTTGTGTATTTAATTTAACCAAAGTGACGCCACTGAGTTTTTTGAATTTATCAACTCCAGACACCCCAATATAAATTTCACGATGGAAAATGAAAATTGTAATAAACTAAGTTTTTTTAGACGTTCTTATACATAAAGAAAATGATGGCCAAGTTAAAACATCGATATTCAGAAAAAGTACTTTCACTGGTCTTCTTTTGGCATTGTGTAGTTTCTGTCCACAAACTTATAAGCTGAGACTAATCAAAACACTTATTGACAGAATTTATAGAATCAATAACAGTTGGAAGGGCTTCCATGGTGATTTGATGAATCTAAAAGGCATACTATTAAGAAATGGTTACCCCTCATATGTCATTGATAAAATTTGTAAACAATACATTGATAATAGTGTAACTAACTACACTAAATCAAAGGTTAATGATGATTCGCACAAAGTCATGTATTTCAAACTTCCATTTATTGGTAAATATTCTGATGATATTAAATACAAGATACAAAATATTGTAACTAAACATTGCACCGGATTGAAATTAAACATTGTTTTCACCACTACAAAAATAAAAAAAACATGTTCAGTATCAAGGACGCAATCCCTAGTAATCTTCGCTCTATGGTAGCGTACAAATTCAAATGTGGTGGATGTAATCCCACCTATATAGGCTATACTAGCCGACACTTGAGTACTAGGATTGACGAACACCTTGGCAAGGACAAAAATTCACACATTTTAAAACATCTAAATGAAAATAAAAAATGCAAAACATTAGCTAATACTACTTGCTTCAACGTCATTGACCAGGACAACTGTGAAATTAGATTACGAATACAAGAATCACTACACGTTAAATGGAACAGTCCAAATGTCAATGTTCAACTCAAACATTTAAGCTTACAACTTTTCAATTAGCGTACAGCACTAATGTATGCAAGGTGTTCTATACACCTTGCATATGATTATCTAGAACGATCGTTACGTTACCTTAATTGGTAACAGTTTGTATTCACTAATTAATATTCATTCATTTCTTTGTATAAATACTCTTAGTTAAGAATGAAAAGATTTTTCTTTCCGTTTATTTTGCCTTTCCGTTTGTACTGATGATGGGTGAGAGAGAACACTTGAAACATGTTTACAATTAAATCCTTAGTTCTTTTCTTAAAATGTGTTGTATTTTTCATCAATTTGCGTCCGTTTGGTTCCATCATTAAGGATTTTAGTTCGGAAGACCTGCCAATTTGTTTGGTTAGGAAGTATGAGAAGATATCCCTACGGTTCATTAAAGTTACAATTGTAAAACGTTCGGCGTTTTCCCAAAATTAAGTACCGTATATATAGTCCTTAAGAAAAACAATTTTGGTTTTATTTTCGTTTTTTTTTTGTAATGATGATTGGTTGTTGTCATTCCGAAACACATCTTTTCTGTTATTTCTAAAATGTGTGGTGATTTTTTTTTAATCATCTGTTTGGTTCAATTACCAAGAATTTTCTGTTTCTTTGTTAAGGAAATATGAGAGAACGTCTATTCGAGTTTCTTTTTCTATATATAAGATTATAATATTTTTTTTATTAATAGCAACTTAATAACGTGTGTTACACAATAACACAAATTTGCCTAATAAACCATTGGAGCAAATGGACATGGACGAGAAGATCGCCATCATAGGTATAGGTTGTTGATACGGCGATGCCGTGTCAGTATCACGTGGGATTTGGGACATGTTAAAGGAAAACAGAGACTGCACAGGCCCACCTCCTGTAAACCGATTTGATAACTCTTTTTTTTTTCTCCCTGGTGCAAAGAGAAAGGGTAAAATCTACACGAAGGCGGGTGCATATTTGAAACAAGATTATCTGATGTTCGATCGACAATTCTTCAATATGTCTCCAGGTAAAAAAAAGCCAAAGCCAAACATTGTCAAATAATAATCTGTAAACTTTGTAAAAAACCCCAAAAACATTAGTAGGAAAAATAGTTATTTTTTTCATTACACGTACAATATAATGTATAATGTATTTAAATGATAAATATCATACCGAAAGATTTATATATAACACCTAATGATTATTAATAATAATGGGGGATGGCTATAAGGAAATTACTGTACCTTCAAATTTAAGTCTGACAGTGCCGTTTCCAGCCATCTATAAGTGGAATAGATTTTGTTTTAATGTATGCTGTTTGCCTTGATTTGTCAATTTTACCGGTTTCTCGCTTTGATTGGTTAGTTAAATTACTTCATTTCTGGTATATGGTCCCTATGTACAAAATTATTTTCATTTCTGATGATGTTCGAATAAAGAACGAAATATTGAATCATGGCTTCTCTTAGTCTTTTTGGAGTCTGCATGAAATTATATTATCTTAAAAAAAAATTAATCTACCAATAAAATCATCTGTACGTTAACATATAATTCACGTATTTTCACAAATTAGATTTATTGATGTGATTTTGCTTTTTAGTATTACAATGAACACAACATAGGGGCCTAAGCCATGTCAAACCGAATATAGAATGCAAAAAACAGAGAGCCCCAAAAGA